GGAAGTGGTACCCCCTCCACACGAGTTTTCGGTCTTTCACCCCGGACACTCAGGCCAACTTATCAATTCCATCTACACCTCCTATTCAGACTTACTTATGTATTTACCCCATAAATATTTCCATGATTTCATTTCAAAATATTTTATTCTTAATGAAAATTCCAAATCCCAATTCAATGTTCATGACATGCAAGGTTTTAGAAGAGCCAATGCAACAATTATCTATGCTACCTCATGTTCCTCCAGTTTCAACATAATTCCAACAAATGTTCCATAAAGATCAAAATTTTCGTTTTCTCTTTTCGATGCCATTCCAACCAATATCCAAAAGTTTGCTACCATTTAACAATATATAACAATATGCCCACAATTCGTATACTTTCATCATTTTAATCATTTCAAAACCATAGCAATATTTGGACAACAACTTCCAATCTCAACAATTCTCATATGTTAAGAAAGCCATCATCAATATATATGCATTTGTATAAAAATAAGAAATTTTCCATTTTCTTTACTTATCATGGCACACAACAATGTATATATATATATAATATCAACCATGTACCCTCATCTTCTTTCATTTTAGGAAAACCCCAAATTTCTAGGTTTCTTCTTTACAACAACACACACACACCCCAAACACTTGAAAGAAAACCAAAAAGACATCATTTCCTTGCCCAAGATGATTCAACCCTCAAGAGATTAACTTAGAAAGATTTGAGATTTTAAAACCCACTTTTGAGAATCCCTACATTCTTGAGCCAAAATCAAACCCTCATAATATTTCCAAGGAAAACCCCAAAACCCACATCAAACTTACAAAACATGTATATACAACTCAAAGAAGTCCCTACCTCAAGCTTGATGAAGAGATTTCATGAAACCCTAGAATCAAAAGTTGAAGAAATTTGATCTCCACCATACAAAGTGAAGCTCTTTCTTTGCTTTCCACGACTTGTGAAAAATGATGGATCAAAACTCAATAGATTACAAGAAATCAAGGGTTCTTGGTGTTTTGTGAGAGTTTTTAGAGAGAAGGAGGAGCAAAATGATATAGTAAGAGAGAAATGTCCCAAAAGTGATATACATAGCACAAAAAAGGGAGAAAAAATAGGGTTTTCGGACTCAAGTCTGTCCCGCACGTGCGGCACTCCTCCTCTGCACTTGCCTTTGCACCTGCATATGATGCAATGTGCAGCCTAGAAACCATCCCAGATTCCCGCACGTGCAGCCTCATCTCCTGCACGTGCGGCCCAAGGCCCCGCACTTGCGGCTCAACCCTCAACCCAGAAAATTTTTAGCCTAAGTGTGAAACCCCTCGAATTCAACTTCAAGCCTCCCAAAACAAGTGGAATTCAGAATTGAAGTTAAAAGAGACAAAAAATCGAGAGATAGATTTCAAAAAGTGTTGAACCCAACATGCACAAAAGAAAGTAGGACGATTTACGCACCCGGTCATCACAATTTGGGCCACCTATGTTTTGTTATGAAATGTTGATACGATACATTTGTGAACAAGAACCTTGGAACCGTTAAGTTATACTTTGAAAATCTAAAACGTGTACAATACGATATGTCATCGAAAATGAGGTTTTGTTAGGAATGAATGAGTAAGATATGATAAGCTTTTCAAAAATGGAATTTGTTTAAGAAGGAATGAGTTCCTTTTGAAACAATAACTATGATAACAGCTTGGGAAATGTCTTTTGATCCCCAATGACTTCCGCATAGTATTCAACTCATCATGTATGGTTAGTATAAGTTATTGAATTATTGTGATATAATATATGACGCTGATCTTTTATGATCGTTCGCATGATTTCGATTGTATTGATCGTTTCACATGATTTCAATTGTATCGATCTGTATGATATCTACCCGTTATAGACGTTTTGAATAAAGTCGCCGAAGTGGGCGTTTCACATAAACGCGTCCTATATGGACGTTTTGTACCAAGTCATCCCAAGTGGACATTTTGCATAAGTCGTCTAATAAGGACGTTTTGTATAATGTTGTCCTATATGGGCGTTTTGCATGAAGTCGTCCTATGTGGGCGTTTTGTATAAAGCCGCCCAATGAGGGCGTTCCGAATGTTTCGTTCCGTCGTGAACGTTTTGTGTTGTATTCTGACAAGTTTTGATAAGGCAATTGGGTACTACGAATTGTGGAAATATTTGATGATCCATATTAGTTATTATATGTTTCCGAAATATGCTTTAATTATGTCAAAAACGTTATATTGTTTCGTTTAAGTTATGGATCTCATTTATTTAACCTCTTTACATTGAGATTATTCAGTGGGCTTTGGCTCACTATATTATTTATGTATGTAGGTGATTAGGCGCATGACCAAGCCTAGAACTTCTGCCTGGACTTTGTCCTGTCAACCAACCTATGTGCCTCCCGTGGAGGTTTCAGATATGTCAAATGGTTAAAGCCATGTGATTAAAGTTTAAGTTTCGTTTATTTTATATTTAGGGCTAAGTCCCTTTTTGTCTAGTTGGTATATATGATGATGTGATATATATGTGTATATATATACATAAAACTTTAAAATTCTTCTGTCTCATGTAAGTTTGCACAGCTCAATGGATATTGTATATTTATTATTTGCTTTCGCTAGCCCCTAATAATTGTTTTCTGTTTAAGAGGCTTTTGGTAATCTACGAATTACTAGCCGGTTACGATAGTAAACCTATGGGGGTGGGTTTGGATTGTAACATATATATATAAGTTTAAAATTCTTGTGTCTCATGTAACTTTGCACAGCTCAATAGACATTGTATATTTATTATTTACTTTCACTAGCCCCTAATAATTTGCTTTCTTTTTAAGAAGCCTTCGGTAATCTACAGATTACTAGCCGATTATGACACTAAACTTATGGGGTGGGTTTAGGTCGCGACATATATTATCCAATCTTGAATGCAATAACAGATATACAAAGATACATACATTTACACACACTGAGGTTGTATTCATCATTCAATCATATGCTTTAACACTAAACAAACAATAATAAATAATAATAAAAAAGAAAGAAGAAACAAAGAAAAGAAGAGAAGAGAAGGCGTGTGTGTGTGTATGTGTGTGTGTGAGATATATATATATATATATATATATGGATATACTACAACAACAACAATAGTTAATGCCGTAAAAAAAATGTTTATAAAATGTACAAAAATTGATCCCGCTCCATAGATCATTACTCAGGTAGATCAAACTTAAATTCGAACTCAAGTAAAATGTTTGTAAAAAAACACAAATCCTTAGATCCGAACTCAGTATCCTCTAATTTGTTAAAAAAAAAACACAGATTTGATCGGAGAAAGATGAGCACGGTGGGATTTGGGCTCGCCATTGTCGTGAGTCATATCGTTCACTTTTATACACTAAAGTGATGAAAGGTGATACTTAGTTTGGATTCCTCACTGACATATTTGAGCCTAAGATCTAGATATTGAGGAAAGAATGGAAGGACGAGTGGTCGGAGATGAACCAGACGGTGGCAGAGATGAACTTGACAGCGGTAGTGATGAGATCGGCGGAGGTGGGTTTGGTGTCGGTGGAGTCTTCTTCACGGCGTTCGATCACTCTGAGAATGTGAAGTTTGAAACCCTAACAACCGATGAAGGAATGAATGGTGAAGGTTTAGAAGAGCTGCAGAGAGAGAGAGAGAGAGAGAGAGAGAGAGAGGAGGAGGAGGAGGTAGCGAAGAAGCCAACGCGGCCTAGGTAGCCTGACGATAGTGAAACGACCGCAACAACAAAATTGTTTTGCCACCGTCTCTAACAATTGGAATCGAATTGGGCAGCAAGTCGAGACGAATAGTGTGGGAAAGAGAAAGTGAGAGAGGGTAGAGGAAAGAGTTAGAGAGGGCTGTAATTAGGGTTTGAAAATAGGAGTTTTTACTGTAGCTATATTATGTATATATATATGGGAGTAGTTTGGTCTTTTCACAAAAAATGTGTTCGAGCGTGTACCTTCGGCCAAAAGAAATTCATATTTGGATTTATGACCTAAGCACCCAAAAAATTATTTATATAAAATAAAAGAATAAATTATAAATATATTTTTTGAGATTGATTTAAAATACGAATTATTTTTTAAAATTTGAAAAATTATAAATATTTACTTATTAAAATTTTTTATTTAACAAAAGTAACTGAAAAAACAAAATTTTTCACTATTCTCCTATATAGTAATAAAATTACTTGATTTATTAATTAAAATGTATTTATAATATCATCAAAAACTATTAATTAACTTGATAAAACCTGGGATCTGGGAGTTTGCTCCTCCTGGAGGTCCCAAGTTCGAATCCCACTCCCCACCGGTTACTGTGCGGGCCACCGGAGGTTTGCCCGGTCGTTAACTTCAGGGCCCTCAGGATTAGTCACATACTTCGGCTGTGGGGATACCTGAGTCATCAAAAAAAAAAAAAACTTGATAATTTATTACTTAAAAAATCATTTATTATGAAATATAAAAATTTTAAGAGAAGACAATTCAGTATGTTTGGTTTGAGTTGTCTGGATTAAGTTTTTTGAAAACTGAGTTTTTTGATTTTCGTATTCTTTTGTTTTTAGTGAATATTTTTTAAATTTTAAACTTTTTTTTTTCTTTTTTAGATGCACTTTAGTTAAATGTATCTAAAAAGTAAAAAATTTGTGAAAAAATATTTAAAAAAATTAATAAATACATAAAAATACAAAAAAATGTACTGAATTCTTATATTTTTTTTGTATTTTTGGTATTTAGTGAATTTTTAAAAGATTTTTTTACAATTTTTTTACTTTTTAGGTGTATTTAAGTTAGGTGTATCTAAAAGTAAAAAAAAATTGCTTAAGATATTAAAAAAATACAGTAAAAATAAAAAAATATAAAAAATAAGAATATAAAATTTTCTAAAAAGTATTTTAAAAAAAAATGAAAACAAGCAAGCTAATTGGTATTTTAAATAAACTTATATCTGTAATTTATCCAAATATAAATTAATTTTTAGCATAGACTCTACTCTACAGAGTAGACCCTACTCTTCTTCTCAAACCCTTCTCGAAACAGACGACATCCATCTCCAGAACCGACCCCTATCTCCGGACGCAGCACATGGCGGCGACTTTCTCCGTGTAGTCGTTACCGGCGGCGGCGGGGGGAACAACTGGTTTCGGGTGGAGATCGAGTTGACGACGGCGAGATCCAAACGATCCAGATGAAAGCCGGACTGGAGGGAGGGTGTGGATTACTGATGGAGAATCTCTCTGTTGGATCGAAGGAGTTTTGCGACGATGGAGGCTGGATTGACGATGGGATTTCTCTTCTCTGTTGGATTTCCGCAGGCGGCGCTGGTGGTGTTTTTAGTCGGAGAAACGGAAAGAGGCAGTGGGGGTGAGACCGCAATGGATTGGAATCTCATCACTAATTCGGTAATTTTAAATATTTTCCTGTCCTCTTTCAATAATTATAATTGTTGCACAATTTTTGCTGGAGTACAGATCCTCTGCAGTGTTTTCCTGCAGTGGTTCCTGCTGTGCCAAAACCACATCGTTTTGAAACCATTTTTTTTTTTTTCCAACTTCTCGCTCTTACACTCCATTCCCAAATCAGAGACCCAAATCAGAGAGGAACCACAAGGACAACAGAGAAGGAGAAGGAAGGAAGAAGGGGAATCACCGTCATCACCAACGAGACCCTTTGCCTCCTTACCTCGTCGGAAAACTCTCATGCTACCATCACCGGCGTCACAGCCACCAAAGCCTCTGAAAAAAAGGGGCTTCATCTTCTTCTCGCATTTACGTTTTCGTTTTGATTACAATGTTGTTACTATGATTTCAATCTAGGGTTTCTTTGCACAAGGAAGAGAGATATGGCACCTCCACAATAGAAAAAACTCAATCTCCTCTTGCAAGTTGGCTTAGATGCATGAACAATCAAAATGGAAACAAAAGGTAAAACCAATTTCTAAAACTATGAAACCCAGAAATTGAAAAAGCCAATTTCTTCGTTAGTTTGTCTTTTCATTAAAAGGAATTGATGTATTGCCGAGTGAAATTGATGGGTTGAGTTTAATTTGTGTTTAGAGAGTGGTTTGTTGCAGACTCATGGTGAGAAATTGTGATTGGAGCAATAGAGAGATATGATATATATATATATAATGATAGCTCAAATTTCTGCCATAGAAAGATTGGGATTTACATCTTTTACCCATTACTAGTTCAAAACCTTCAAGTATAGGATTACATTCAACATCTTCATCCTCTCCTCGTCTTCCTTCGTTAGTTTCCGAACCCAAACCCAGATTTGATTAAGAAAAAGAATAATGAGTGTAGTGAAGAGGATGAACAGAGTGATTGTCACAAATCAAAGAAATCAAAAGAAGAAATTTTTCCAGATTTTTGCCAATCAAAATCAGATTTGGGTTGTTTTCTTGAGTTAAAACCCGAGGAGGAGCTGGAAAAAAGAACGAGTGTTAGAGTGTTAGAGAAGCACCCATTTCTTGAGTCAAAATCAGATTTCTTGGGTCTCAGATTTGGTAATGAAGTTTTAGAGAGAGAAGCCGAAAAAAAAAAAAGGTGCCAAAACGTCGTTGTTTTGGCGCCACAGCAGGAACCACTGCAGGAAAACACTGCAGAGGATCTGGACTCTTTTAGCTGGAGCCTCCTCATGTGCAAGTAGTGTCATGAAGGCTCAAAACGACTGGGCCAAGCTTTGCTGAGCTCGAGTTCGGTTCATTTGCTTATCGTGCTTGAGGTCGAGTTCGGCTCGATTGCTAACTAGGTTTGAGCTCGGCTCGGTTCGATAATTTTTTTTAAATATTATTTATATAAATAATATTATATACTATGAAGCACGGGTACGGGAACTAATACTGGTACGATACAAGTACGTCGATACGGTAAAATTGCGGCTTGGTACGCTTGTAAAAAAAATATTTATTTTTAATTTAGAGTAATGCAAAAATTAATTAAAAGGTTTAATTCGTTAAGATTCAACCTACAATTAACATTTAATGCCAAAAGTAAATGTATAAATCAAAATTAAATGTCAATATATTAAATAACTTACAAATTATATGTTAATTTTAAAAACATGCTAGGTATAAAACTAAAAATAAAAAAGAAGTCTAATGAAATGAGTTTTATCTCCGTAGTAGAAGAAAATATTGTTTCAACTGAGTTACGGTACGGCTTGAGTATATAGTAGACACGGCTGGGTACACCAAAAATTCAGAAGAAAAAATTTGGGTATGTGTTTCGTGTACTTGATACATATGCAGAAGTATCATACGAGGTACCATACGCCGGTAAGTACCCATTATGGGTATGGTATGTTTTTCGAAGTATCCATGCTTCATAGATTATATATATTATTTAATATATAAAAATTATATTTATTATATAATTTAAATAAAGATAAATGAGCCGAGCTTATTCGAGCTCTAGCTTACCAAGCTGAGCCCTTAACGAGACAAGTTCGGTTCATTTGCAGTCCTATCATGATAATATATAAATAATAGTAAAGAACTTCCTCCCTTTAATAATTTAAATATTTAGATGAATTGATATGTGATGTCTAATAACTTAAAATAAATTAAGTTTGTTTGATTAACAATTTAAAATTTTAAACACCCCTTAAAAATAGGGTGATTATTCAATAGTCTCGGAGTATGGACATGCGGTACTCCTTGTATTGTGATTGGTGGAGAAGATGGGTAGATGAGGTATTGTGTTGGATGATTGAGAAACATGAAGGGGCATGATGAATGATTATAGAGTACGGAGACGTGACACTCTAGGAATATTCTATAAACATGTTAACATTGGTGTATCGCCATCACTTCACCACTACCACCACCGCACAATAAAGTGCTAGAGATAGATTTTTTATGAAAAATATGTGTTTGAGTTTATGTTGTATGAGGAGTTTTGTTTTTGTTAATTGGTTTCTTCGCTAACTAACTCTTTTGCTACATATTTTCCTATTGGATGGAGATATCATGTCATTAGCATCACTGTGATATTGAATTTTTTTTCCCCATTTAGAATAGACTATGTGCTTTGTACTTGAGAGTTTTTCATGTTTTCTTTTTTTCTTTGTAATATTTTATTTTTTAATAAAACATTACCTTTTTTCTTATAAATAAAAAAAATAAAAAATAAAAAACTCTACCACCCTTTACCATTATCGTCACAACTATCTCACCATTCATCACCAACACAATCCCTACTTAAATTTCAATAAATACCAAACAATTATTTTGATTAAAAAATTTATTTAATTTTTAATTTTCAAATTTCAAATTTTAATTTTATCAAACACACCCTAGTCAATTTGAAGGTTACATGACCCAATAATCACGCCAAGGAAATTTTGTGAATTTCCACGAAGTCATTTTCTAATTCAATATTTTATAAATGGGGCATGATTTTGGGAAGCTCTCAACTGAATCAGGTAATTGGACCTTGTAAGGTCTGTAAGCTCCGTTACAACATTTATTTTTGTGATTCAAATCATCATTTTGTAAGGACTTTGGGTAGATTATCCATATAAAAAATAAAAATTAAATAACTCTAATCACATGATCAGGTCATATTTATCTTTAAAAAAAGACTGTCCATTATTTGATCATATGTCTATAGTTATCTGATCAATGTTAATTTTTTTTAATAGCTAATCTTCTTCAAAAATCATATATAATTAAATGATTCAAATCACAAGTGTGTCATGAAAACCCTACATCGCGGTCCACAAACTTGTTCCTTTATAAAATATAAAGATGTCACTTTATTCAATGATATTGAATAATCTCCTCTTTATAAAATAATAACAATGGTTGGTCAATATTATTTAGTTGGCCATGAAAATTATGGTTGGTCAATATTATTTAGTTGGTCATAAATTTTCATGCCTTCTTTGTCGGGTTTTATTAGCAAGTGTTTTAATAATATTGGTTCATCAAAGTTGAAAATACATTTTTATGACCCGATAGTCAAAAGTTCGTTTTTTATGTATATATATTTTTCATGTACTATGGAGCACTTTTTGACAATTTTATAAGGTGACATCATTACAAAAGGGCTCTTTAGAATATCATTATAAATAATCATGACCTTGATTGTTTATAATTGAAGGCTCCATGACCCCATAATCACACCAACAGAATTTTCAATAAATTTCAACAAAGCCATTCTCTTATTATTTAACATTTTATAAGGATTAATTATATATTTAGTCCTTGAAGTATGAATTCTATGTTATTTTGGTCCTCAATGTATAAAAATGCTTTAGTTTGGTACTTAATGTTTAAATTATGTCATTTTGGTCCCAAGGTATAAAAGGTGTTTCAATTTAGTTTACCAAAAAAACTAGATCGATTTGATAATCGTTATCTTTTCATTTTATCGCATTTGTCATAAAAAATAGATTGTCTATTTCAAAAACACAATTGTCGTTTCTTTTTTTCAGAAACAAACACGACAAAATGAAAAGATTACGATTATCAGATTGACCTAATTTCTTCTCATAGATGATATACATGGAGGGTTTTGTTAAAATGAATAGCTCAATTATCGAAACGACTCCCATGGTAAGCCCCACGTGCTCAAACATAATGGTTAAATTCAGATTTGTATTTAAGAGAAGCCCAACCCTTTTGGAAAAACCAAAAAAGAGTGACAAAATCCAAACCAACACGACACTTCTATATGATAGTATAGATATATACATATCTTTTACGCATATAGTCCAAGGACACATGGTCCAAATGAATTGTGTGGGAGTATCCAAATGAATTGTTTGCATGGTCTAAGGACATGGGCAAAATGGCAAAAGAAATGTGCTTCAAAGCATTCTTACAAACCATTCTTATTCAGAGTGACCAAGGTAGTTGTACCTTGTCCATTAATTTGCCACTTTTAGTTAAAGAAAATTATTATTTAAAAAAAAAATGCTATGTATCACTTGTTTTTTGTCATTTGTTTCACTATTTACCGTGGATACTCATAATTTGTTATTTTTTTTAGAAACAATAATTAAGGAAATAATAAAGGCAAATAATATAGTGCCATAAAAGGGTGAATAAAAAAAGGTGATATATAGCAATTGTCTTCTTTTTCTTTTTCTTTTTCTATTCTTTTTTTAATGAAAATAATTTAAAATAATTGTACTTTTAACCATAACTTTCACTTGCACTAAACTTATTAGATCTACTTGCAACTTTATAAAAGTTACAAATATTTTGAGTTGTTCCTAATTATTATTATTATTATTATTTTCTTTCTTTTTTACATAATCAGCACAATTCTACTAATGAAAGGAAAAACAAAGTACACAAACTGAAGGATTACAAAGTTGAAGTATATGAGAGCAACTCTAAGTGAGGAGGCAAAAGGGCTGTATTAGCCATTTTTGCTAGTGAGGTTGTTTT